CCATGCTCCCCACTGACCCCCATCCATTCCCTCTTCTGCTCCATAGAAAGGGTGAGGCCTTCTATGAGGGATCATCAAAGTCTGTCACATCATTTGGGGCAAGGCATAGACCCTCGTGTGTCTAGGCTGAGAGAGTATCCTTCTATTGGGAATGGGCTTCCAGTGACCATTCGTACACTGGTATAAATGCTGAGGAATTTATTCTTAAGTGTCTTACCTGCAAACAGAACCTTTAACCTGCAAGGTATATTTTTCCTGTTTTAGTCTCCCATTAACTTTCAAGGTGCATTGTTCTTATTCCTGTTTTGGTCTGGTATTTGCCTCGGGAGTCTTAAGGAGCCTCCCTTAAAAACATCCTGTGACTTAAGGAGTTTCCCTGAAGGATGGAATGTACCAACTCACAGGTATTGTTAAACAACAATGATAAAAACCATCTACGAATTATCTGCAAACTAGGCAGCAGGGTTGAACAGGCTCCTGGTGGCCTAGAGGTTCTGTAGACTTTGAAGTCTGTCACTGTATCAGTAACAGTGTCTTGGTCTGAAGAAGGGTTGTTTGCATATAGCTTTGGAGAAGGATAGACTATATCAACTCCATCAAGCTGCCATACCTGATTGTCTATAAGTCTAGTTTCTGGGTGAGGGCATGTCTGAGGAGACAGAGGTGAGGGTAAGACTGTAGGACCAAGAGAATGCATCAGTCAATGGTGTGTAACCTCTTTCCAAATCCAAATGTTCAAGAAGCTAGAACCATCTCTTGTAGGGCCTAGGAGGCTCCTGACACTTCCTTGTCACATGTGGTGTCCACTCGAAACCAATCTTTCCAGGTGGGTGGTGCAAGTGTCTTAGAGTTCTGTTGCTGTGAAGAGACACAATGACCACAGCAACTCTTATAAAGGAAACATGTAATTGGGGTGGCAGCTCACAGCTCAGAGGTTCAGTCCATTATCATGCAGACATGGTGCTGGAGAAGTAGCTGAGGGTCCTACATCTTGTGGTCTGTCTCACTGGGTGTAGCTTGAATATATATGAGACCTCAAAGCCTACCTCCACAGTGACACACTTCCTCAAACAAGACCACACCTCCTAATAGTGCCATTCTTTTGGGGGGCATTTTCTTTCAAACCACTACATATCACACCCTGACCCCCAAAGGCTTGTAGCCATATCATAATGCATTCAGTCCAACTTCAAAAGTCCCCATAGTCTATCACAGTCTCAAATTTATTTAAAAGTCTAAAGTTCAACGTCTCTTCTGAGATTCATGAACTCTCCTTAACTGCAATCCCCCATAAAATCAAAATAAACTGATTATATACTTCCAACTTACAGTGACACAGGATATACATTACCATTGCAAAACATAGCATAGTGAGGAAATACTGGACCAAAAGCAAACTCTAAACTCTGCATCTCCATGTCTGAGGTCAAAACGCTCTTTGGATCTCCAACTGCTTTCAGCTTTGTTTACTACAACACGCTTCTTTTTCTTTCTCTTGGGCTGGTTACACTCTCCTTGGCAGATGCCCCATGGCTCTGGTATCACCAACATCTTAGAGTCTCCTAGGCAACCCAGACTTCAGTTTCACAGCTTCATGCAATGTCTTCTCTCAAGGCCTCCATTCAGGAACGCACCTGACACCTGTCTGGCCACAGAAGCTTTCCTTAGTCTCAGGAGCGGATTCCATAGCCTCTTTCTTCTGTCCTAAACTCCAGAACTACATGGCGGAAGCTGCCTAATTCTGCTGCTCACTGGGGCTGGAACACGGCCCCCTCCTTCGTCTTCATCAGCTTTCTGCCCTCCACTAAGCTTGATTATCCTGAAACCAGATCTGTAGACCAGGCCAGGCTCAAACCCAGAGGCCCGCCAGCCTCTGCCTTCCAAGTGCTGGAATCAAAGGTGTGCACCTCCATACCCTATTCTAAGCTTTCCTTTAGTTCTTTTTCAGAAGTTGGAAAACACTCCCATTATTCCATTTCTTGTGTGATATTTTGTTTGTGTTCTGACAAATGAAGCTTGTCTGGGAGATCAAAGACCCTGGGCAGCCACTAGTTGCTTCTATCTGTCTCCTTTTTGTGTCCAAAGGGGCCGAGATCCTGTCTCCAGCCTACCTTATCACTTCCGGTCTCCACCTCCCAAGTGCAGGATTAAAGGGATTAAAGGCGTGAGCCACCACTACCTGACCTCTGTGGTTAACTAGGGGCTAGCTCCACCCTCTAATCTCCAGGCAAGCTTTTATTTTTCAGAACATAAACAAAATACTACACATTTACCCCTTTTTTGTCTAAATAAAAAGCAAAGGTTTTAACTAACATAGAAAAACTATATGCAGTAAATATAATAGCTATATACAATTATATACAGAGAATAATTACATTAACAATGTATAGTCCGTTAACATTTGAAAAATGCAGAAGACAAGCTTTGTCAAAGCTCAAACAAAATATCTTAATCTATTTACCTCCTTGAATACAGGATTTAGCTCTATTCCACTTCCTGGTACCTTTTTCTCAATCTGTACATCCTGTATTTTTATTTGCTCAGCTTGATGCTTTTCATTATAAATAATCATTGGAGTTATCACTAATGACCACACGACAGAGTCTAAATGAGGCTGTTTTGAGATTTCTTCTGCCAACAGAATTAATCTAAAACTCTTCACTTTAGCCTCAGGTAGAATTTTCAGACAAGGGCAAAAAACAGTCACATTCTTCACCAAAATATCAAAAGAATGTCCTCGAGGCCACATCTTAATCTTATTCTCCTTTGAGACCTCTTGGGCCAGCACCTCGCAGTTCACCAAATTACACTCAGCACCACTGTCTGCCATGATCTTACTAGTGTGGCCCATTAAGCAGCACTTAAAGTGTTCAACTGCTTTTCTAATCCATAGTCCTGAGGTCAATATTCCTTCAAACAAAAGCATGGTCAGCCTATCACAGCAATACCCCACTCCTGGTACTAACTTCAGTCTTAGGGTTTCTATTGAAGAGACAGCCTGACCACAGCAACTCTTATAAAGGAAAACATGTAATTGGGGTGGATCACTTACAGTTTCAGAGGTCCAGTCCCTTATCATCATGGCGAGACACAGTGGCATGCAGGCAGACATGGTGCCAGAGCAGCAGCTGAGAGTCCTACATCTTGCAGGCAACAGGAAGTGGTCTGTCTCACTGGGTGTGGCTAGAACATACATAAGACCCAAAGCCTCCACAGTGACACACTTCCTCAAACAAGACCACACCTCCTGGTAGTGCCATTTTCTTTGGGGGCCATTTTCTTTCAAAACCGCCACAGAGGGTCCTAGAAGAATAAGATTAAGTCTGCAAAAACAAAGTTGAGACCAGGGCATCTTGGTGACTGAATGTGGTTCTATTTTCTCAAGGACAAGAACAACCACATTTCCTCTCTGAGAACCATTGGGGATCAGAAAGTTCCAGTGGTGAGAGGGGCCACAGGTCTGGTTGCAGTGCTGATGTTCGGATTCTTAACAACACCGAGCCTCTTTGTGGGAGATGGGTAATAAGGGTACCTTTCACAAATACAAGCCACACGTGGATGGGCTACTAGGCTGGGGAATGAGTGACGAGTGATGAGTAGACGAATTTTCCCTCTCATTCCAGGACTGAGCACCCAGCGGTCCATCCCCTGCCTCCCAGCAACAGCAATAGGTTATAAGCATGGCTACAGCTGTGACTGGACAAGGTGTTCAAAGTGCCCTGCGTCCACAGAGCCTGCCCCACCCTCCTGTGCAGAGGATGTTGGTCAATGAGGTGGCAGGAATCAGCCCAGCTAACTAGGATGTGTGAAGTCTGTTCCAAATCAGGGAGAGAAAGGACATGGGTTCATTTAAGATATGGGTGTCCACCATCATATGTGACTTGCAGACAGGATGACTTGCTCAGTGTTACTCAGTGCATGGGATTTAAGGGGCAGGAAATTCCAGCTTTTTGTAGGAGATTGAGCATGTGTTGAGGGGCTCTTGGATCACTGTGGAGTCCCTTCTGGCTATGACTTGAAAATATGTGTCACCTAACATTCACAGACTGAGATACCAACCCCCAAGATGTTGGAGGAGAGGTGGGACCTTTGGGAATTATAAGCTCTTTATGAGAGGGCTCCAGAGAGTTCTGTTTCCCCTTTGCCATGTGAGGTAAGAAGGCAAAGGTACCCTCTGTGAGTCAGAAAACATGCCTTTAGTAGGCAGAATTGGCTGGAGCTCAGAACTCAGACTTTGCAGCTTTAGGATGTGTAAAATGTGAATTTCTGTTGTTTTTAGACACTCAGTGGCTGGTATCTTGATACCATAACCCACACAGAGTGAGATGCTTCTATATTCATTTCCTAAGGCTTCAGAGGAGAAGGCCCTGCATGCTGAGTGGCTTAGACTACAGAAGCTGATTTTCTCCTGTCTCTAAGACTAGAAGTCCAAAGGCGGGTTGTCAGCACCCTTAGATCCTTAGAATCCTTCCTCAGGATTCTAGAGGGAAGATCTGACAACCCAAGATGTCGTGGCACAGAGAGGGAGTCTTCTCTCTCTCTCTCTCTCTCTCTCTCTCTCTTTGGTTTTTACGAGACAGGGTTTCTCTGTATTGTTTTGGAGGCTGTCGGTCCAGCCTGGCCTCGAACTCACAGAGATCCGCCTGCCTCTGCCTCCCGAGTGCTGGGATTAAAGGTGTGCACCACCACTGCCCAGTGAGCGAGTCTTCTCTTGACGTCCCTCATCAACAGTATCCATTCAATTTTTCCATTTTTATAAAGATGCCAATTTACTGGCTCAGGGCCCGTCCCAGGTCTCATTTAAGTTTATTTATCTCCTAATAGCTCCTATCTGGCCATATAGGCCCAGAGGTGACCATGGCTTCAGTGTATGAACGAGGTGAAGTTGAGTCTGTAGCAGGCATGTATGTAGTAAGTGGAGAGGGGGAGGGGCAGGAAGAAACGTCCCTGCCATCTTTTCTTTTTAAAGTCACTTTGTTCCAGAATGGAAAGACCCAGTTGGAGGCTCTTCAGAGCTTAGAAGGGGTCAGAGCACCCCACTCCTGAGGCCCCCGTTTCCTGCTGTGTGAAGAGATGCTTTTACAGCCCTGAGGATGCATCCTCTCTCACCCCAGTTCACCAGGCATTTAAACGTGAACAAGAAATTTGTTTCCGCGGGGCTCAGCTTCCCAGGGGAGAGCTGAGGTCACTCCCCCTCAGGGAGATGAGCCCACCAGCCAGCTCCTGGCTCTGGTCCACGACTTTCTAGCAGGTGCTTCCTCCTTGCACGCTTCCACGGACAAAGACCAAAGGCTACCATCAGACCATTCTGGTAAGTGACGCTGCAGAGCCCAGAAAGCCTGGTAGGGTGGTGAACGGGAACCAGGGGTACAATGACCCTCTTCTCAAAGCAGGGAGGAGAGTGTTTCCCAGCTGGCAAGGGCCTCAGGAGCTGCAGCAGGTCTCAAGACATGGCCTGGACTTCTGTCCTGCTCATGCTGCTGGCCCACCTCACAGGTAAGGAAACTCTTGGGGCCCAGAGCCTCCTTGCCCCTCCTCTTGCCTTGCTCTGCCCTGGTCATGGGCTCGCTTCTGTCTTCTTCCCAGGTTGTGGCCCCCAGCCCATCCTGCATCAGCCACCATCTGCGTCTTCCTGGCTTGGAACCACCATCCGCCTCTCCTGCGCCCTGGGCAGCAACCATAACATCAACATTTACAGCATTTACTGGTACCAGCAGAGGCCAGGCCACCCTCCCAGATTCCTGCTGAGACATTTCTCACGTTCAGACAAGCACCAGGGGCCCAACATACCCCCTCGCTTCTCCGGATCCAAAGACACGGCCCGGAACCTGGGGTACCTGAGCATCTCTGAACTGCAGCCCGAGGACGAGGCTGTGTATTTCTGCGCCTTGGGGCCCCGGAGCCAGGAAAAGGAGAACTGGATGGAGAGGGAGAGAGGGGGAGAAAAGTAGCTTACAGATTTGGGATCCCGGGCTCTGGAGACATTCAGACCCTGAACTCAAGGGCAGTTTGCTTTGCTCGGCTAGGCTGGCTCAGGAAGGAGGGCGGAGCACTGGGGCTTTGTAGAGCCAAGAAGATGGAGCCGTTCCGCTTTTCCTTGTCTTGTAGTGGTGCCGTGAGCCCCACAGGAGGCTGGATTATAGAATTAAAGCTGTTTTTCTGGGTTTGGCTTGGCTGGCTTGTGATCTCAGAACCAATGTAAGAACTGGCTAGTCCATAGAACCTGACTAGACAGCCTTAGCTTGGCCAGGTACCACGAACAGCATACTCATTATGATCTCGGGCAAGTGGATGACAGAAACGTCTGGGGGGGGGGGAACCTCCTTGAAGGGACAAGGTCTTCTATTGTCACTTCATAGTCTAGAGTAAAGAAGCTTAGTAAACACCATCATGGCTCTCACTTTTGGGGGAGAGCAGGTGCCAAGTGTCGGGTCCAGAACAGGTTCCCCTCCTTCGTACTAGTGATGTTTTGCGACAGGGTTGCGTTGTCATGGGGCTGCCTGTGCATTGTGGGTATTGAACAGATTCTTTGGCCTCTGCTACCAGATACAGTACACAGCAAATACCCCCCACTGTAAGTGATGACGTAGCAGCAAAGGTCCCTGGGGTGAGAGATGCATCTACCGTCTATGCAGGGCAGTGATAAGCCAGCAAACACTTTCTCAAGGGCCAGATTGTTATCAGCCTTGTTGTTGTGGACCACACTGACTGTTGAAACACCAAGTTCTGTCTTTGGAACAAAGCAGCAATCACAGGCCACGAGTAAGTGGCCAGCGTGGCTGCCAGCAAGGCTAACTCAAAGGAACAGGCTGGGCTGGGCAGGATGTGGTCCTCGACACAATGGCTGACCTTGCTCTGGAGAAATGGCACAACTCCTGCCTGGATTTCAACAATCCTTGCTTGGGGTGCCATCAGGGGCCTTCTCAGTTTTTCTTGACGGATGGCCTTGGGTTCTGAGTCATGGCCTGTGAAGAGACCTTGAAATTTGAGTTGCATGGTCACGGAGACCACACTAGGCTTGTTGCCTGCAGGGGGATGGAAGAGTTCACAGAGTCTGGGCTGCTGCTCTGTGCCTGGAACTCCAGGGAGGCAGTCCAGAGTGTGCCCTAAGAATGAGATCCGTGTGTGAGGCATCTGTACTGTATGGACATGCTTTGCCTCAGGGAGGTGTCAGACAAGTGGTGCCCTTTGTGGCTTCAGACCTGATTGAGAACACCTGTTTACCATGCTAAAGATCTCAAGCCCCCCCTCCCCAGGTGGACACATGTCAGTGTCATTCTTGCCTCCTGTGGCCCCCGACTCTCATCCGTGTAACAGCGGTCTTGGCTTATGCCATGTTCCGACACCTCTGGCTTCCATGTCCTCAGGTCACCAAGTGCTTTGCATGCGTCCTCCACCCGTGAAAGGACCCTGGGAGTATGGCTTTCGAGGACAGCTGGTGGTCTTTTGCTCTTCCATGCCCCTCTTCTGCTCTTGTCTTTTGCCCTCTGACATTCCACGTTGTAACATGGAATCCAGGAAACAGCATGCCCTCCTCCACCATCTGTTCCTCCTATCCCACCAGCTCAAAGGAAAGCGAGACCTTAGCCTTGCCTGGCCTGCCTGTGTCTGCCTGAAGCCCAACGTTTTCTTTACATGGAAAGGGAAACAAAATATGCCTGTGTGTGTGTATGGATGCCCACATGCTATGGCACACCTGCAGAGGTCAGAGGGCAACTTGAGGGAATCATTTCTGTCTTTCTATCATATGTGTGCCCAAGAGATCAAACTCGGGTCCCAGACTTGGCAGCAAATGCCTTTACCCACTGAGCTGAACTGTCCTGACTGCCTAGCACCGACTGACTTGTAAGAAAAGCGTGGCTTAGGCTTGTCTGTCGTGGGTGTGGCCTGCTCTTCCTCTGTGCGGTGTCAGCTCTTTCCTTTCATCCGAGTTGTTTCTCACCCAACCGCCACTGGGCTTCCAAATCTCCGTCTGCTGTCGCCTTGGCTTTCCCTGTGTCCTTGCTGTCCTCCGTCCACATTTGCCTTTGCTCTATCTGACTGCTTCCTGTGTGCTAAGGCTCGGGGGCAAGGCACATCCACAGTCCCGGACTTTCCAGTGGCCACACTCAAATAAAGTGGCTGCGCCTGCTGGCACGGATCTGTGGACCCTGCTGCTTGGTAGCTTGAGGCAGAAGATGCCCTGAGTGTTTAGCCCAGGGGGATTTTTAGCCTGGGAAACAAAGTGAGACTTCCCATCTCTAAAAATAGTTTTCAAAAAATAATAAAAAGCAAGAATAGGTGAAATGATTTCTAATGATATTTTTTATTTAACACATGTCCTAAATACAATCATTTAATGAGCTACCAATGTAACGGGCATGCATGAGCACTGTTTTTCCTTCGGTACTCCATCTTTGAAACCCAATGTGTACTTTACAGCTGTGTTTTATCTCAGCTCACACCCACAACAGCTGCACGGGGTATGGAAAGAGCACAGCTTGAAGGGACCCTGTTCAGACCCCTCATCACGCAGCCTTTGGATGCTGGTCAGGTCCTGTGCTGAAAGCCCCGTGCCCCGTCCTTTCCCCCTGCACTGTCATTTCTGCTGTGTTCCGCTAACTGCCACTCATCACGTGCCTGGTTTGCTTGGTCGCTTCCAAACCTCACTCGAGCTGTTAACACTGGGAGGATTTCCTGCTCCTGGACTGCATCTTCCTCTGCACTGATGCAAGGCTCCACAGACATCTCACCTCCCCCAGGGCTACCGTTTCCTGGTCGCTCTGTAGTTGCTACCTCCCTCCAGTGGGCAGACAGACTGTTTTCCTAATTACGGTTAGCACCTGCCTCGCAGCTCTGGTTTTACTTAGCAAGACTCTGTGAATTGCCAGCTGGCTGGAACCTCTCTGTGTGGGACAAACACTCTAGGTGATAAGACAGGCGGGTGAGTGATGAATGTACGAGCCAGTGAATTCTTGGCTACTTTCCTTAGGATCTCACTGGGACTCCACAGTGGCTGAGGTCACTGTGATCCTCTGAGCTGGGGAGAAGCAGCCCAGATTCGCATTTACATTCGTGATGGCCACACTCCCTGTCTGTACATCTGTCTCTCTGCTGTTTCCCTCTGACACATTACTGTCCTCTGACGACTGAATACTGTAACCAAGAGGGACCTGGAAAAGGAAAGGTTGAAGGAGGCGAATGCACATCAGGAATGTGGGAACCGTCTGAGCCTGGGACAGAGAGCTAGCGGAGAGGGCGGGGTCCCAGGGTGTCAGGACCCACCATCCAGTGCTGAAAAGACAGGAATCAAGACGACTCTTGAAGGGTGTATGGAACCAGGCTGTGGGGGTCTAAGGATGGTGACCTATGCACACACCTTCCAAAATTCAACAGGAAAACAGAACCAAATGAATTGTACATGTTGCCAGTGACTCAAACATTCTGACCTGAGAAAGATACCAAGAACTGGGGGGGGATCTGAGGACCTCCTGGGGGTCTTACAGGGTGGCACTTAGAATGAAAAGGGTCCAAAATGCCAGTGCAGTCATGGCCTGGGGTGGCAGAGTGAGCAGGGGAGGGGCGTATGTGGAGGGAGAGCTGGAATCAGCACGTGGGACAATAGGACACAGCTTATGTTGCATCTTTGTGATGATGTGCACTGTCCAGCCCATTTGTTCATTTTGCAGTATAGTGCAGTAATACATTTATGGTTTGTTAAAGATTGCCAGATGGTTCAGAAAGCAAAGTCAGTCTCAAGCTGTAGAGATCAGGCAGTGGTGGTACACACCTTTAATCCTAGGATTCAGAATTAAGAGGATCTCTGTGAGTCCAAGGCCACTCAGATCTACACAAGATTGATCCAGTCCTAAAGAGAAACAACTCAAAGATTATCTCAGCACCTGGTTTCACATGCCTTTAATCCCAGCATTGTCTCCAGGAACAGGGTCTCAGAGCTGCCATTCATTCTCCAGTCACACTGAGGATAGGAAGACACTTAAGTCTCAGGATTCTCCAGTCACGCTGAGGAGAAGCAGCTGTCTGAGGTTTGGTGGAGCCAGGATCACCCTTTCAGCCTGAGGTAGAGTGAAAGCTAGTGCCAGCTGCTTTGCTTCTCTGATCTTCAGTTTGAAGCTTGAACCCCAATATCAGTCTCTGGGTCTTTTATTCTTTGTGTTACAGTATGGACAGGGAATATTTTCATTTTAGCATTCTCCTTTTGTTACAAAAACAAAGCTATAAAGAACCTCCCAGGGCTGGGAAGATAGCTCACTGGCTAAAGCACTTCTCATACAAGTATGAGGACCTGAGTTTGAACCCCCAGAACCCTTGTAAAAGTTGGGTGCAGTAGCTTGCATCTGCAACCCCAATGCTCTATGGGAGTTGGCAGGTCCAGACAGGAGAACCCTTAGAAGGTCTCAGGTCAGCTAGCCTGGCATCTGAAGCAGCAAGAAAGAGATGAACTAGCGTCTGAGGTTGACCCCTGACCTCCACATGCATGCAGTGGCACACACACTCAACACACACAGATTCACACACATACTATATACGTGTCATAAACACATTGTGGGGAGCCGCCCTTACATTCTCCGTTACAAGATGGCGCCGACATCTTGCCGTTATGCCCTGCAAACAAGTAGAGTGCGCATGTGCCTGGTACTTTTCCATCCCTTACTCCCTGCCTCTCCCGTGGCGTCATATGGGCTGACGAGCAGGAGCCAGTCAGGAGATGACACGTCCGAGGCGGGGACTGTTGGGCTATATAAGGGTTGGGTTTTTCGCTCCCCGGGGTCTCCGCTCTGTAAGCTTATGCTCTCCCTCTCAAGATGCATTAAAGCTGTTCTGCAGAAGGATCCTAAGTGTGCCGCATCGTTCTTGCTGGCGAGACGGTAGCGCGGGACATCTGGTGCCGAAACCCGGGAACTACTTCAACATCATCAGCACTGCCGGAGACCCCTTGGACTCAAGGAGGATTCAGAACTGCAGGTAACTATGCTCGGAGAGGTATGTCATTCTGGGACTTTGGATTGGAACTTTCGCCACCCTGGGAAGGTAGTGTTGAGGCCTTGGTACTTGTTTTGGGAGCGCTTCTGATTTTTCTTTTGGGGAGCCTGTGTTTTCATCGTTACAATTGTTAGGCGCGTTAAGTCTGACGTAAATAAGTGGCACTGCCTGACTGTGTGCTTT